ACCCTAAACCCTCAACCCTCAACCCTAAACCCTAAACCCTAAACCCTAAACCCTAAACCCTAAACCAAGGGGGTAGTAGAGGAACCCCTGGGTTTCAGGAGCACGGAGACCAAGCCAAAAGCCCTAAAAAGCCTGGAGTGCGAACATTCCCGGAAAACCCAAAACCCTAAAGCCCGAAGTGAAAATCCTCTACAACCCTAAACCCTAATGAGCCCTAATAAACCCTAATAAACCCTAAGAAACCCTAAGAAACCCTAATAAACCCTAATAGACCCTAATAAACCCTTATAAAACTTAAAACCCTAAACCCTGAACCCTAAGCCCTAAACCCTAAGCCCTAAACCCTAAACACTAAACCCTATGCGCATGCCGAGCCCTGGCAAGTCTCCGCCGTCCTCGGCGCAGTCGCGGAAAAGCTGCGGAGCAGCATGTGAGAGCTGCGCGTAGCTGTTGCAAAGCAGGGTGAGGTCCTTTTCTTACAGGGTTCTTAAGGGAAGCTTTTGGGGTTTAGGGTTTAGGGTTTGGGGTTTAGGGTTTTGGGTTTAGGGTTTAGGGTCCTTCTCGGCCGGCGATTAGGGCTTCGGGTCTCGGGTTCAGGGCTTTTTTGGGTAGGGACACCCCTGTCTTGAACCCAAAGCCCCAAACCCTGAATCGCATCACGTTGTAGCTTGGCTTTCATGATCACAACCAGAATTTGTCTTTACCTTGTTGCAGGATCTTGGTAGCCCATTAGCCAAATTAAAAATGTTATAATGAGGGCACTCTTTTTGGGGTTGGTTGCTCTATAAGGGAACCAGGAACCAAAAGAGCGAAAAAGGTACCACTGGCTACCAAGGGATCAAGATTCAGGAATCTTCCTGAAGAGGGTATTGGGCTCTTCAGGCAGTTGTTGCGGCTTGGAGATTCCAGGACAAACCCTAAACCCTTAAATGCCCTTAAACCTTCAACCCTAAACCCTAAACCCCAAGCCCTAAACTCTAAAGCATGGCAAGTATGGGACGGCTGCTTGTTTGAGCATACCTTGCATGAAAGGGTACAATGGGTCGAGGGTTTAGGGTGCAAGCTCGCCCTAAAACCTAAAACCTAAACCCTAAACCCTAAACCCTATACCAGTTTCAAGCCTCAAGCCGGCGTCCCCCCCCCCCCCCCCCCCTTTTTCCCTGTCAACGCTAAACACTCCAACCCCAAAAAGCTTCCCAAACCCATCTTCGACCGCCACATGTCCCACGTGTCCATGTTTGGGGTTTAGGGTTTAGGGTTTAGGGTTTGGGGTTTGGGGTTTGGGGTTTGGGGGTTCTCAACATGATGGTCCCCTTTTTGGGCACCGTGAATATTCGCGGCCGCCTTGTAATAGGGACCATGATTTAGAGCAGTGGTTCGTATATACTAACCCTAAACCCCTAAACCCCTAAACCCCTAAAACCCCTAAAACCCCTAAAACCCCTAAACCCCTAAACCCCTAAACCCCTAAACCCCTAAACCCCTAAACCCCTAAACCCCTAAACCCCTAAACCCTAAACCCCTAAACCCCTAAACCCCTAAACCCCTAAACCCTAAACCCTAAACCCTAAACCTAAACCCTAAGCCCTTGGGGTTGCAGTTCCTTTTCCAGGACGTCCAGTGCCTGTTTCTAGGCCAAGCTCCCGAGCTGCAGCGATGACAGCAGCGGTCTTTAGGGTTTAGGGTTTAGGGTTTGGGGTTTAGGGTTTGGGGGTTAGGGTTTAGGGTTTAGGGTGGTTGCAGCAATTACAGGGCTCGCCACTCCTCACCGCGCCACCCAAAATCAGGTTTGTTCCAGATCCCCCATGAAACAGCCCCAAAAGCCCCTAAGCAACGCCCCAAAAAAACTAAACATCCCCTCCCCAAGCAACCTCCCGAAAACCATAAAATCACCCAAGCAACCCCAAAAAAACCCAAATCCCCAAACACCCCCCCCCCCCAAAAAACCCCCCCCCCCCCCCAAAAAAAAAACACAAAAAACACACACATATACACAACTATATAAACAGATAATAATAATAACAATAATAATAATAATCATAATAATCATAATAATCATAATAATCATAATAATCATAATAATAATAAGAATAAGAATAAGAATAAGAATAATAACAAAAACACACCCCTAACTACACCCCCAAGCGATCCGGTCCTGGATGTTGAAGCAGGTAAGCCAGGGTCCTCCAAGATTCTCAGCCACGTGATCCAGCAGTGTAACCTTGGCATGGTTTTCCGGGTTTCGGGTGTAGGGTTTAGGGTTATGGGGAAAACAGAGGGAGATAATGGCCTACTCTGTGGACCCTAAACCCTATATAAACCCTAAACCCTAAACCCTAAACCCTAAACCCTAAACCCTAAACCCTAAACCCTAAACCCTAAACCCTAAACCCTAAACCCTAACTAGCCCTAAACCCTAAACAACCCCTAGCTGTCAGGAGTGGCTGCAGCTGGGCCCCGGGCATCCCGCAGCTGCTTGCGAGCCAGGCTGGAGAGTACGAGGCTGATATTTCTGGCAGCGTTGGTGTTTAGGGTTTAGGGTTTAGGGTTTAGGGTTTAGGGTTTAGGGTTTAGGGTTTAGGGTTTAGGGTGTAGGGTTTAGGGTTTAGGGTTTACGGGTGGTTGCTGGCTTTGTTTAGGCTTCATGGGGCTTTGGCTGTTAGAGGCCGCCCTGGACCTGGAAAGCCTGAGCTCCTCAACCGAAGCCCTGCACTGAAGAACCCTTAAGCCATAAACCCGAAATCCTAAACCCTAACCCTAAACCCTAAACCCTAAACCCTAAACCCTAAACCCTAAACCCTAAACCCTATAAAACCTTAAGAACCCCTGTACCTGGGGGACTGCTGCTTCAGGTGGTAGAAGAGCTCCGAGCAAATTTCGGACCAAAACTTCCTGTCTCCTCCGGGCATAGGGGTTTCTGCAAGCACTCTCTGCAGCGGCACAGGCGTCTAGGGTTTAGGGTTTAGGGCTTAGGGTTTAGGGTTTTGGGCTTAGGGCTTAGGGTTTAGGGTTTGGTGTTCAGGGTTTAGGGTTTGGGGTTTAGGGTTTGGGGTTTGGGGTTTAGGGTTTAGGGCTTAGGGCTTCGGGTTTCTCCTCAAGGGCTTCGGGTTTAGGATTCGGACCTGATACGGGGCCTGCGTTTCTACATCGCACTTTGTTGTTGAAATCTTTAGCTTGTCATTTTTTCGTTTTAAAGGTCCCAAGGATTTGTTTGGGTTTGTAGGAGTTGGGGTTGAGGGGTTGCGGCTTTTAGGGTTTAGCGAACCATGCTTTCTAGAGAACCGGCCAGGTGCGCTCCAGCAAGATCTGTTGCTGAAGAAGCATTAATTAGGGTTTAGGGTTTGGGGTTTAGGGTTTAGGGTTTAGGGATTCGGGTTTAGGGTTTTGGGGTTGCGGGCAGTAAGGAATCAAGCCCGAAACCCCCTTGGCCACGGCACTTGTCCTGTGTACAGCTCGGGGTCAATGCTGTCCACCTCCAGAGTCCCCCAAAAACTACAGACCCCAAATCCCTAACTCCAGGCGAAACATGAAGGTGTGAGCCCCACACCCCAAACCCCAAGTCCCAAGCCCCAAACCCCAAGCACCAAACCCCAAACCCCAATCTCCAAACCCTAAATCCGAAACCCTAAGCCCTAAACCACCCGAAACCCGAAACCCGAAACCCGAAACCCTAAACCCTAAACCCTAAACCCTAAACCCTGGGTGCAAGTGTTCCTTTCTCCGTATGCAGCGCGTGACATCTTTGCTGCGCTTCGCCTCGGAGGTGGACTGCATCAGCGTAGCCTAACCGGCCTTCAGCAGATCAGGCTGCTGGGAGACTCCAATATCACTTAATTTAAGGAATATTCCCTTAGGGTTTAGGGTTTAGGGTTTGGGGTTTAGTGTTTAGGGTTTAGGGTATACCCTTATATGGTTTAAGGATAATTCCCTTAATTCCGGGGTATTGGAGCCTTTGGGAAGTGTGTCTTCAAACTGGAGGGCGGCACACCCGAGTACACGCCACAGAAGGAGCGAACGTGCTCACAAAAACTTTGGAGGGCTTGCTTGCCTCCCAGTCGGTGCTCATTCTCAGTGCTTCCTTCGCAGATTCCCTTGGCCTGGGAGAGGTTTGGGGGGCTCTGTAAAAATGAAGTTTTATGGCTTTATAAGGATTATATTTAGAAAACCACCGGGGGGGGGGTACCAAAATCACTAAAAAAAGTCAAATCAACCCATGAAAGCCCTAAACCCTAAACTCTGAACCCTAAACCCTAAGCCCTAAACCCCAGACCCTAAACCCCAAACCCCAAACCCTAAACCCCAAACCCTCAACCCTCAACCCTCAACCCTCAACCCTCAACCCTAAACCCTAAACCCTAAACCCTAAACCCTAAACCCTAAACCCCCCCCCCCCCTCCCCCGGCCTGCTTCTCGAGCTTGCGGAGCTGGAGCTCCGCCTGGTGCAGCATCAGCCAGAAGTCGGAGCACTCTTCCAAGATCTGGCACATGCCTTGCTAGGGTTTAGGGTTTAGGGTTTAGGGTTTAGGGTTTAGGGTTTAGGGTTTAGGGTTGAGGGGTGGCCAGATTATAAGGGCACCCCTTTTTTTTGGGGGGTTGGCTACGTTGCAACTGAAACCCAGAACCAAGAAAAAAGCAAAAGCAGGGCCAAAAGGGTACCGCTGGGTTCGACACCAAGATGCTATCCAGGTGCATGAGGGACAGTTCCTTGGTAGCCCAGCGGCCCACCATCTTAGAATAAGGGTACCTTTTTTTCTCCTTTTAAACTTGGTTATATACTTTATGAGGGAACCCAGAACCGACAAAAAAGGGTAAAGGGTACCAGTGGGCTGTCCAGGTTCCTAGTTCATGGTTGGGAAAATATTAAATATATTTTCCTTATTGCGTTTAAGTACCCTTAAAGATGTAAAATGGTACCCAACTATGACAAACCCTAAACCCTAAACCCTAAACCCTAAACCCTAAACCCTAAACCCTAAACCCTAAACCCTAAACCCTAAACCCTAAACCCAAGAAAAGGAAAGGAAAAGGGTACCACTGGGCGGCCAAGGTTCCAAGTATCCCTGTGACTCGCGCTGGGCTGCAGCCAGCTCAAGGCCAGGTGCTTGGCACTCCAGGTTGCCATTGGCATCCTACGAACTGCTTTAAGAAGGGTTTAGGGTTTAGGGTTTAGGGTTTAGGATTTAGGGTTTAGGGTTTAGGGTTTAGGGTTTAGGGTTTAGGGGAAAAATAAGAATGTTATTCCTTCATTAAGGGTAGTATAGGAAGTAACAGTATTATTCCTTATTAAGGGTAATATAGGAAGTAACAATATCAATATTATTCCTTATTACTTTAAGGGTAATATAGGGATCATTGTGTTTTATTCTTTTGGGGTTCTTAAGCAAAGAGTAGCATCCTCGACCGGTTCCCCCATGGACTGCACCACCGTCTGATCCACCGTGACCTGCGCACAGTGTCCGAGATACTGTAGTCGCTTGAGAAGCTCGATGTAGTCAGTGCGGACTGACTGCGTGTCCCTGCGCAGTGCGGAGAGGCTGTCGTGAAGCTCCTCCGTGCACGCATGCGCCTCCGCATTGCCGTGACCCCTCGCCGCCCAAAGCAGCGTCGGAAGCTTGTCCAGAGCACTGAAGGCTGTCGTTGCTAGCTGGGAGGCTACCATCTGTGCTGCCCCTATGAGTTCCACAAGAAGATTTTGGGTCATTTTGCAAGCAACTTGCAGATCTTTGTCAGTCTGCTCGAGGCAGCTCATGACCACTTGAAAATGGCCCGTGAAGGCATCGCTGAAAACTTTCAAGTCCACGTTGCTCTCCTTTGGCTCGTAGAAGATCATGGTTCCACCCTGATACGAGCCTTGGGGGCCAGAAATGAACCCTAAAAATTGGGGGTCCTACACCCTAGACTACTATAAGTCCTATTCAGGTAAGATGAAACCCTAAACCCTTTTAGGGCTCATGTCGTCCCCCAAGGAGCTGCATGAGCTGGAGGAGACCATGGACCCACTTGCCTGGCGATGGAACGACAAGCCGGCACTGCTGACGACGAGAGACTCCGCGGCATGAAGCTGGTAGCTCCAGTCTCGGGGGCTTCCGCCCCCGGAGGCATTCATGGCGTTCATCATGTCGATCTCAACTTCTCTTGAGGTCAGCACGGCTTCGGAGTGTGGGCGGGTTTAAGGGGACATTCTCTCCAGACTGCTCGTGACATCAGGGGTGAGCCTCATCTAGCACAAGCGACCTGCAACATGTCGTAGTGAGAAGCATGGCAGCACGGAAATACGCCCACAAAGGGATATAGAAAAAGTATGCGTGTCTACAGATCTGGAGGACATAAACTATGATGTGTACATATGTATATACACATGTATAAAAATACACCCTCCCCCCTCCGACCCCTCCCCCCCTCCCCTCTCCCCGCCCCTCTTCCCCGCTCCCCTGTCCCCTCTCCCCCCTTCCCTCTCCCCTCTCCCCTCCCTCCCTCTGACACATCGACACAGTACTTCAGACTGTGCTTTCGCAGGCGGCACGCCATCACAGCTACGAGTACTATCTTGCGCATGTACACACCTCTGTCGCAACGGCAGCGAGGCAATCGCTTTGAGGGATCCTTGCGTCGAAGATCCTTCTATTACGTATTCTAAAATACTGTTAGTCTATACGCTGTTATGGTCTATGTTCTGTATACTGTTTCATTGTTATGCTATCCTATTCTTCTACTATTCGAGATGTTGGCTTGTTTACGAGCCCCCGCAAACCCTAAACCCTAAACCCTAAACCCTAAACCCTAAAACCTAAACCCTTAACCCTAAACCCTAAACCCTAAACCCTAAACCCTGAACCCTGAACCCTGAACCCTGAACCCTAAACCCTAAACCCTAAACCCTGAACCCTGTCCAGGCACGGAAACGGAAATCCAAATCCTACCCGCAGAGCCCACCTCAGATCTGCCCGGAGTCTGCCTGGAGGCCCTGGACAACTAAACGTCTGGGGCACCTATTGGGGGGGCTTAGGGTTTAGGGTCTAGGGTTTAGGGTTTAGGATCTACAGGGTCTAAAGGGTCTGAAGGGTCTACAGGGTCCAGGGTTTCGGGAGGGCTTAGGGTTTCAGGGTTTCAGTTCTTTCGGGTTTCAGGTTTGATGGGACCCTGCGAGTCTTGTGCAGTGACACACGCTGCATGACAATCTGACAATGTGCAACGCAGCCTGGCGGTTGCATTCGATCAGGCAGGGACTTAGATTTCATATAGTATAAATGTTGGGCAAAATGCAGGCAGCAGAGGGAACAGCCGCCCCCAAAAGCCCTAAATCCCTAATCCCTTGCCTAAGCCCTATTCCCTAATCCCAAAAATCCCTAACCCCAAGCCCTAAGCCCCAAGCCCCAAGCCCTAAGCCCTAAGCCCTAAACCCTAAACCCGAATCGCAAAAACCCCAAACCCTTGCAGGAGGATCCTCAGCCTACTAGGCCTCCCAGATCTCCGAAACCCTAAAATAGGGTTTAGGGTTTAGGGTTTAGGGCTAGGGTTTCGGGTTTTTGGGGGTTCCCTAAACCCGCATCCCCAAAAAAAACCCTCGACATACACCTAGGGCCTCAAGGCCACGTCGCCCAGACCCTGCTTGAACTTCGGCCGCGGGATCTCCGCCGCGTGGCCCGGGCCATGGGCTCCTCAGGTGTCTGTTCTTGGTGCGATTAAGGTTTAGGGTTTAGGGTTTAGGGTTTAGGGTTTAGGGTTTAGGGTTTAGGGTTTAGGGTGTAGGGTTTAGGGTTTAGGCCGCGCGTTGAGGGTTCCTTACAGATGATGGTGAGATGTAGACCCTACTTCACAGCGGCTACAGGCTTCGGGGCCTTAGGGGCCTTTGTAGGGTTTAGAGTTTAGGCTAAGTTTAGGGATCCTAAACCCTAAACCCTAAACCCTAAACCCTAAACCCTAAACCAGGTTGGGGTTCAGGGTCAGGGGCTTGGGGTTTGGGGTTTAGAGCTTCGGGCCCTAGGGGTTTAGGCTGTAAGACTTTGAAACACATGGTCTCATGCATTGTCATTTGAAAGCAAAACCAGAATAAGGGGTTTAGGGTTTAGGGTTTAGGGTTTAGGAATTAGGGTTTAGGGTTTTAAGCCTTATAAGCCCACTGCAGCCCCCTCCACCCAAAACCCAACCTCTTCATGTTCGCAAGCAAAACCCTAGGCTCCAAAGCCTTCACATCCTAAAGCCACATCACAAAAACCCTCTCACCACAAAAACCCTAAAGCCCCAAAGTCCTAAACCCTAAGCCCCCCAACCACTTAACAAAAAGCCCTAAAGCCCTAAGCCCCCCCCAACCACTGAACAAAAAGCCCGAATTAAAGTCTTCACGCCGCGCAACACCCTGCAACCGCTCCAGGGCAAGCTGGGGCTGCAATTGCACTACAAACCCCCGCCAAACCCAAAGCATGAAACCCTAAAACCTTAAAGCCTCCCCGATCTTTAGGGTTTAGGGTTTAGGGTTTGGGGTTCAGGCTTTAGGTTTTAGTTTAGGGTTTAGGGTTTAGGGTTTAGGGTTTAGGGTTTAGGGTTTAGGGTTTAGGGTTTAGGGTTTAGGGTTTAGGGTTTAGGGTTTAGGGTTTAGGGTCAAAAGCCCAAAACTTGGGAGAGTGGCGGGCAAAGGGTGCCAGGCGCGCGGCTGCCGTGCGAAGCATGGCGCTTGGGAGGGAGCCCAGAGGGCCCAACAGCCCTTAAGGAAGGAAGTTTAGGGTTTAGGGTTTAGGGTTTAGGGTTTAGGGTTTAGGGTTTAGGGTTTAGGGTTTAGGGTTTAGGGTTTAGGGTTTAGGGTTTAGGGTTTAGGGTTTAGGGTTTAGGGTTTAGGGATTAAGGATCCCTTTGTCGTTTAAGGTCTATTCTTTACTTTGCTTCAGGAATATATACCTTAAATCATATTAAGGAGCCCTTTGTCGTTTAAGGTCTATTCTTTACTTAAGGAATATATACCTTAAATCATATTAAGGAGCCCTTTATCGTTTAAGGTATCTTCCTGAGCAGAGGAAGATACCTTAAATCATATCAAGGACCCCTTTATCATTCAAGTTATGCTGCTTCTTTAAGGGCTCTTTGGGAAGCTTCTTTCAGGCCTCGCCGCCCTCTACCGGGTTAGAGGCTTTTGGTGGTACGGTGTCGGCTGCTTGTTTGGGGGAACCCTAAACCCTAAACCCTAAACCCTAAACCCTAAACCCTAAACCCTAAACCCTAAACCCTAAACCCTAAACCCTAAACCCTGGTCTCCCATTCATGTCGTGGATTTGTTCTGGCGAGATGTGAGGAACGAGTAGATAAAACTGGCAATGGCAGCACAGCAAATCCATGGATGTTTCTGTTCGCCCCATTGTCCCTTAGTGGACCCTGAGGGTTGCCACCAGGTTTAGGGTTTAGGGTTTAGGGTTTAGGGTTTAGGGTTTAGGGTTCCTAAATAGCCTAATTTAGAGGAGGGGGAGGGGGGATTATAGAGGGGGGGTGGTAGGGGAACCCATGATTCTTCTGAAGCAGTTTAGGGTTTGGAGTTTACTTCTAGGGAGCAGCAAGCGAACTCTTTTCTAGCTGCACATACCCCGGCAGAACATCGCAGAGCTTTTTGCCTCAGCCGACCAGCTTTGCTGGGCCAGGTGAAGCAGCTCGATCGGAGTCCAATCTCCCTAAATCCTACTTGCAGGCTCATGGCTACTCATCAGGAGGAGGGTTCTAAGTGCCCTAATAAGTAAAGTTACGACCATAGTTACCCCACTTATAACCCGGCATAACCCTACTTAGAAGTACCCCTGAGCTTCCAAGTAGTTGCTGCGCCAAGCGCTGTGAAGAGGGGCTGAAGCCACAGACGATGAGACCACGCTGAGGGATGTCGTTGCTATGCACGGCCCTAACAGCACAAAGCAACTTTCGTTAGGACATCATCCGAGATTATCTGAACCAAAAACCCTAAACCCTAAACCCTAAAGCAACAGCTGGCATGTCTCATGGAATGGGTGCGCTGAGATACTTGAATGCCTCTTACGCCCAGCGTGGTGTCACCGTGCAGGAAAAACCCACCGCAGAAAAGAGTCGATCTCTACACGGCCGCAGCTGTTGCCAAGCGTACGAAATGTCAAGGCAACCATCTCCTCCTTCGACTCGTTTGGGTGGCCCAGAGAGTCCTCGAGGTCGGCAGAAACTTGGTTGGGGGTTTAGGGTTTAGGGGTTTAGGGTTTAGGGTTTACCGTTTAGGGGACTTTCGTGGCGGTACCTTAAACCCGAAATCCCTACTGAGAAGCGCTTTGTGTTAAGGGATGGACTTTGCTCTCCGACCCCTTTGCCCCAAAGCCCTCAAGCAACAAGTCAGTTTGACCATGTTGAACAGTGACCCCCCCACCCTAAACCCTAAACCCTAAACCCTAAACACTAAACCCTAAACCCGAAACCCTAAACCCTATAAACCCTAAACCCTAAACCCTAAACCCTAAACCCTAAACCCTAAACCCTAAACCCTAAACCCTAAACCCTAAACCCTGTACCTTCCCGAGCCGGATGCCCTTTCTTTATCTTTGCCCCAACATACTGACCTTGGAACCCTAGTAAAAATTATGATTTTGGCGGATTATGGTACTCAAAAAGTAAAAACAGACCCAAGAATCCCTAAGCCCAATCTTAAGCCGGGCAGCCTGTTGTTGCTTACTCGGCTGAGAGAAAAAAGAAGGGATCCTAACCAAGCGTCCTATAGATGTAAGCGATTCCCCCGGCAAGCTTTGACCTACCAGACACTCTCAGTGATGACACGATCTTTTGCGAACAAAAACTGAACCCGAAACCCGAAACCCCAATTCTAAAACCCTGTGAACCAGAACTCTGGGAGCACAAACTGTACTGGGGCGGAAGCAAGTGCACAGGAATGGCCTCTAATCGCAGAGAGCCCAATGCATCAAGGGTTTACACCCCTTCAATCCTGATACTTAAGTCAACTGAGGTGCTGCTACCCTACTCTAATCTTAAGGTGAATTCCGCAATCCCAAAAACCAAAAAACCCTAACGCCCTAAACCCCGAACCCGTCGAGGTTCGAGGATGGCCGTGAGATCCGCTGGGGTCAGCTGGTTTTGGAAGTGCGTCTTGAAAAGGGCCTGGACCTGCACGAAGTGGGCGCCTCAGTGCAACACAGGGTTCAGGGTTGAGGGTTGAGGGTTGAGGGGTTAGGGCTAGGGCTTGCAACCCCCCCGAAGCCCTGAAGGCCCTGAAACATGCTTCTAGAGCTCAGGGGGGTGGCGAAGATCAGCTACACCTCAATCGGAACTTCTATTAGACCCCCCCCCCCCCTATCCCTAAACCCTAAACCCTAAACCCTAAACCCTAAACCCTAAACCCTAAATGCTAAACCCTAAGCCCTCAGCCCTAAGCCCTAAACCCTACACCCGAAACCCTAAACCTACGAAGCCCCCGGGCTCCTACATGTGAACTAGGACACCTCAACACTGAATCCATCCCTCCACCCCGTTTTGAGTTTAGGGTTTCGCGTTTAGGGTTTAGGATTTATGGTTTCGGGTAACTTCCCGAATGACTTTCAAAGGATCTTCCGCTTTCGGGGGCCATTTTTTTTCTTTCCCATAGACCCTCAACCCCCAACCCCGAAAGTCCATGAACCCTCAATCTCAACCTCGAAAACCCCGAAAGCGGATCAGGTTTAGGGTGTAGGGTTTAGGGTTTAGGGTTGTAGGGTTTAGGGTTTAGGGCTAGCCCGAAACCCTAAACCATAAACCCTAAACCCTAAACCTCCCCTCTAAACCCCTAAAGCCCCTACAAAAGCCACTCCGAGGGGCCGGTCGGAGCCTCCAACCGGCGCTGTAGGGCGGAGGCTGTCGGCCGGGTAGCAGCCTACCAACTCCAGGGTGTGGGGTTTAGGGTTTAGGGTTTAGGGTTTAGGGTTTAGGGTTTAGGGGTTTAGGGTTTAGGGGTTTAGGGTTTAGGGGTTTAGGGGTTTAGGGTTTAGGGTTTAGGGTTTGGGGTTTTTTCGCTCCCGCACAGGTAGCCGAACCGCAGGTTGGGGGGTTTAGGGGCTTAGGGGGTGTTGGTTTCGGGCGTGGGGTAAGGGTTTTGTGGTTCAGATCCGGGTATCGGATTAGGGGGGTGGTATGTGGGCGTAAGCCCCGGGTTGAAGGGTACCGCGGTTTAGGGTTTAGGGTTTAGGGTTTAGGGTTTAGGGTTTAGGGTTTAGGGGAGGACTATTTAGGGTTCATGGTTTGCAAGTTAAGGGTTTCGACTCTCCCGCACACTCGCGGCCCACAGGGTGCAACTAAGTTCAAGAGGCTAAGTCAAAGTTCGCGGCATGCCGAATTAATTACCCCAAACCGTTAACCCGGTTTCGGGGGGAATGGGGGTTGCTGGGTTCAGGGGCTTCAAGAAAATCAGGTTTGCAAAATTCGGGTCCGTGTTGTGCTTCTTCAAAACCCTAAACCATCCCTAAACCCTAAACCCTAAACCATGAACCCTAAACCCTAGACCCTGAACCCGAAACCCTAAACCCTACACCCTCAACCGCTATGGGGTTGGGATCCCCGATGCCTTGGCACTGAGAGCAGAGGCCAGTGCTGGCCGGAGGCCAACTGGCGCCTCCCCAGGCGTTTTAGGGGTTTACCTTTAGGGTTTAGGGTTTAGGGTTTCGGGTTTAGGGAGGTTGCCCAGTAACCTAGGATCAAAAGGGTGCCCTTTTTGGCTTAAGGAGGTTTACAAGGGAATCTAAACCCCCCAAAAAAGGAAAAAGGGAATAAGGGCACTACTGGGCATCCTAGTCTTCTAGGGATGTAGGGCTGAAGGATTTCTGGGGTTCGGTGTTTACGGGGTGAAGGTTCGGGGGTTTAGGGGTTGGGGTTCATGGGCTTTGGGTTTAATTCAGGGTTCGGGGTTTACGCCAAGCAGTTTAGGGGTTTCGGGCCTAGGGTTCAGGACTTCGAGGCAACAGGGTTGCCTGTAGATCAAAAAAGCACACGCAACCGAACCTCAAGGGCCCAATACGAAGCTCCTAAACCCTAAACCCTAAACCCTAAACCCTAAACCCTAAACCCTAAACCCCTAAACCCTAAACCACTAAACCCTAAACCCTAAACCCTAAACCCTCAAAGCCCATGCAGTTTCAGCAGTGGGCCTGTGTAGGGTTTCTAGGGTTCCGGGAGGCCCTCGAGCTCTCGAAACCCGTAGGCCCAAACCCTCCACCCTCAAGACAAGAATTGTCTGTGATATCACTCTGAAGTTTCAAAGTTGGTGTTTTCTAAACAAGTTGGCACCGTACAAAGCCACGCCCCACGAACAAAAGACTCCAAAACCCGAGCTTAATTGATCCAAAACATCTCCGGAGGCCAAATGCGCAAGTTGCTTAACCCCCCCCCCCCCCCCAAAACAAAAAAAAAAAAAGGCCCCAAAAAAGGCCAGGAGGTCATGTTTGGATTTTCTGGTTTAAGGCATCTTTTGGGAATTTTTGAGGGGATGGGTATCTGGCTCATACGAAACCCCACGGGTCTGACCTGACACTGATCAACCAAGACCCTCTTTGCCCACCGAACTGAACGAAGTCGCTAGGGTCTATACGGTTTGCCCTCGCGCCCTAAACCCTAAACCCTAAACCCTAAACCCTAAACCCTAAACCCTAAACCCTAAACCCTAAACCCTAAACCCTAAACCCTAAACCCTAAACCCCCCCCAAACACACTTAAACACCCCTACCTCAAGCCCACCTCCGCCAATGAGCCCAAAGCTGCACTTGAGCCGTTGGAGGCAGCGGTTTTCGCGCCTGCCAGGGTTTAGGGTTTAGGGTTTAGGGTTTAGGGTTTAGGGTTTAGGGTTTAGGGTTTAGGGTTTCGGGTTTAGGGTTTCGGGTTTAGGGTTTCGGGTTTCGGGTTTAGGGTTTAGGGTTTAGGGGCACTTAGTAACCAATTATAACTGTACTCATAGCCCACTTAGAAGCCACTTAAGTGCCCTAATATGGTCATAAGTACAGTTAGTATAACTGTACTTATAACCCACTTATGAGCCCCTTAAGTGCCCAAATATGGTTCCAAGAACAGTTATCTTTGGCTAACAAGTACCATGAACCTCCAGGCAGGGGGCCGGACGCCCTCTTGCCGTTGGGTTTCAGGGTTTCACGGTTTCAGGGTTTGGTGTTTCAGGGTTTGAGGTTCAGGGTTTCATGCTTCAAGTTTAGGGTTTGGGGGTCTCTTACTGGCAGGGTCCTCTAGGGGTTTCAGGGTTCAGGGCTCAGGGTTCATCCGCGGACTTGTGTGGTCGGGTCGATGCACGGGCAAGGAGGCTAGCGATGCGGGCCTGTATGCCTTTACTGTTCAGGGTTTCAGGGTCGGGGGTTAGGGTTTCGGGCTTCGGGTGTAGGGTTTAGGGGTCTTTTACTGGAAGGGTTCTTTCTCTAGGGCAATGGCTCGCAGCTCGGACGAAAGAGGTCAAACATGACGGACAGCTTGGGGTGCTGATGTCACTCAGACGTGGAACAAGGTGAGCAAGGCTTCAGGGTCTCTGCCCACAAGCAAGCCCCTGGCCCTAGGGTTTAGGGTTTAGGGTTTAGGGTTTAGGGTTTAGGGTTTAGGGTTTAGGGTTTAGGGTTTAGGGTTTAGGGTTCAGGGATGCAGCGCACCAGCGCATCGCCAGTTGCGTGCATTGTGGCAGGCAAGGATTCAGGTCGTCCAGGGTTCAAAACTCCTAACGCAATCATCTTCGAGACCTTCGCCCCATAACACCTAGGTGGCTTAGGGTTTATGGTTTAGGGTTTCGACTCTCACACTAGGGTTTAGGGTTTTGGGCTTAGGGTTTAGGGCCAATGTGACTGTGCTGACACCTTAGCAACCTCCCCCCAACCTTCCACGAGGTTGATGAGCTCTTCCTGGCGAGCGTGCAATAAGTGGAGTGCTGTCGGTCATGCATCATTTAAGTGTCGGACATACACCACGCGAGAAAACGCTAAGTCCTTAAAATGAAGGACAAATGGCAGCTACTAGACTACTAGGGGCCCTAACCCTAAACCCTAAACCCTAAACCCCAAACCCTAAACCCTAAACCCTAAACCCTAAACCCTAAACCCTAAACCCCAAACCCTAACCCGTCTCCATAGTAGCCATCCTGCCTTGAAAGCGGGGGTTCATGGGAGGAACGCAACCTCTGCAGACCGGTCGAAACTCCGCTCGACCTAAACCCTAAACCCTAAACCCTAAACCCTAAACCCTAAACCCTAAACCCTAAACCCTAAACCCTAAACCCTAAACCCTCCTCTTCCATGTCGGCGGAGGCCCAAATGGCCAGCAAAGTCATAGCAAGGCTGAAGACATCAGCAGGAAAGCCTGCCATGATCAACTCTCGAACCCTAAACCCTTACCCTAATGAGCATACCGCTGAAAAGAAATTAAGGGGTATGGTGCAATCCTTCCTTATATTCTCCGCTTATAGGTTCAGGGGTATGGGCTCGGGGCATGTCAAGTTGTTCTTAGTAACTCACCAAGCAGCCAAGGTTCATATGGGTGCTTCCAAAAAAGGGGTTTTTGGGCTTTGTTTTTAGTCTAGGGCTAGTTCTCTACATCAGGTTCCCTTTTTGAGGCCTCCTACATATCCCCATACCCTTCTAAAAAGGGCCCCTAAAGATGGACGCCCATGTAGAGAACGACCCATGTGGTTTAGGGTTTAGGGTTTAGGGGTGTGGTAGACTTCGCTGCCTAGCCCCCGACTACCGCGGTGCAGGCGACGCCCTGCTTGGTTTAAAAGGGGCTTATAAGGGATCCTAAGCCCCAAGCAAGTTCATGTCAGGGCCAACTCTGGGTACCCTAAACCCAGAACCCTACACTTGGCCCTAACACCTAGACCCTCAACCCTAAACCCGAAACCCTAAACCCACCTAAGGGCCTCGGGTCCTAGCTACTGACTTATACTACCAACGTTGTTTTTAGCCAGAAGTGGCCGAGGCATGGCTGAGCGTGCCATACCTCCCTGTGGCGAAAGGCAAGGCATGCTTTGGACTCTGGCACACTGGCTTTAGGGTTTACCCGAAACCCTACACCCTTTTTGCAACAGGCTTTGGAAGGTTACGCCCGGACATGTTCAGACCCTAAACCCTAAACCCTAAACCCTAAACCCTAAACCCTAAACCCTAAACCCTAAACCCTGAACCCCCGACTGCCCTTGAATGCTCGACTCTTCATGAGCTATGAGCTTGAGGGCCTGCTTGGCGCAACCTACAGCTCCAACCCCCTTACCCCACTGGCAACTAAGTGAACCACCCGAGGGTTTAGGGATTTAGGGTTTAGGGCTAGGGTTTAGGGTTTAGGGTTTAGGGCGTAGGGCTAGGGTTTGGGGGTTTAGGCTGACCTTAATGCATCCTATATTGAGAATCATCCCACATGTTGCCGAGCAACCTAGGACTACAAAGGGTGTTTCTTTTTCTGAAGGAGGTTTACAAGGGAGCCTCAACACCCCCACGAGGGGAATGAGGGTACCACTGGGTTTAGGGTTTAGGGTTTAGGGTTTAGGGTTTAGGGTTTAGGGTTTAGGGTTTAGGGTTTAGGGTTCGATTGAACCCCTAAACCCTAAACCCTGAGCCCCAAACTGATGGGATAGATTCGAATCTCGTCTGCTCTATTTGGGCATCATGGACCCCCCCCATACTGAACTTGCAACCATAGCAAAAATTGCAAGTGTAGCTGTTTCTAAGAATTCATTAGAATACACCAAAAAGTATAGTTTTTGCTGTTTCTGAGCAATCAGAGTACCCAATTTTAGCTGTTTCTAGGAATTGGAGTATATACCCCCCAAAGATGCAAATTCTTCCCAAGCCTAAACACCCTATACACCCTATACACCCTATAAACCCGATAAACCCTATAAACCCTATAAACCCTATGAACCCTATAATCCCCCCCCCCACCCCAACTGAGGTCGGCACCGTACACGTCACCCAGTTCGGGAGCACCCTAAACCCTAAACCCTAAACCCTAAACTCTAAACCCTAAACCCTAAACCCTAAGCCTAAACCCTAAACCCTAAACCCTAAACCCTAAGCCTAAACCCTAAACCCTAAACCCTAAACCCTAAACCCTAAACCCTAAAGCACTGAGGTCGGCACCGTACACGTGACCCAGTTCGGGGGCCGAGTAGAGCGAGCCGATTGCCGAGTCGTCCAGGGGAGCCGCTCCAGGTGTCTGAGGACAACTCTTAGGGGTTCAGGGTTTAGGGTTTAGGGTTTAGGGTTTAGGGTTTAGGGTTTAGGGTTTAGGGTTTGGGGTTTGGGGTTTAGGGTTTGGGATGTTCTTTCCTTGTACTAACAGTCCTTCATAGGGATTATAATAAGGGGGTACTATAGTCCCTTTTTTAAAATATTAATATAATGAAAAAAACATCCCAACTTAGGGTAGTTTACGTGGTCCCTTGATGTGGGCTCTTAACAGGGGGCCCCCTTCAGAACCCCCTTCAGGGAAGGTAAGGGGCCATAGTAGGGGACCATAAAAAGTACCCTTAGAACAGCAGCTCTCTAATTGCTATCCCTTTCTGGGATACCCTCAGGATAAGGCTCCTCCGTTTGGAAGTGGTACCCCACGCAGAAAGAACATCGTGGACTGACGTTTCGGGTAGATGTTTCTGCGTGCTTCTCTCTCTGGTTGGGTCGGATAGAGTTGCAACTGCAGACGAAGTAGCGTTGTTATCGACTCGTGTTCCCCAGGCCCCCCGCCTGCAAATTCCCAACTAAAACTTCCTCGGCTGCTGCGAACAGCTCGCAGGAATGAAGCATGGGAACAAAACTCAAACTCCACCGACTCTCTTCCCTCAATGGCAGCCCTCCGTCCTCCGAAGCCTTCGTAAGCCCCACCCTCCCTCGCACATTGTATTCCAGAACGCTCCGCTGCACCATGACCCGGAATTGGGAGGTTCGCACTTCGAGAGGAAATTCCGAAACCCGAGGCCACCCACCAAACAGAGCCCTCAAACCTTGAAGGAAGGGCTTGGGGTCACTCTACCCCCTAAACCATAAGCCATAAACCCTAAGCAAGGAGTCAGGGCCTCCGCCTCCTCACCCAACCTCCCCCAAGCCCCTAAAGCCACTAAAGCCCCTAGCAACCCCTAAAGCCCCCCCCCCCCCTCAAATCCCTAGCTCCCAAAGACCCAAAACCCCTAAAAACCCTAAAGCCCTCAAAACCTCTAAAACCCCTCAAAACCCCTAAAACCCCTCAAAACCCCCCTAAAGCCCCTAAACCCCTGATACCCGGCCTCCCATCCGACCAAATCGCCATCCACCCCCTCAACAGCAAGCCCGAAGTCGCCAAGACGTGCTGCCGAGCACCCTTCGCCTGCGGTCTAGGGTTTAGTTTATAGGGGTTAGGGTTTAGGGTTTGTAGGGTTTGTAGGGTTTGTAGGGTTTGTAGGGTTTAGGTTTTAGGGTTTTGGGTGTAGGGTTTAGGGTTTAGGGTTTAGGCCACCAAGGGGGCATGCTCGCATCAACATCCAACAAAACGGCCCTAATGCCCGCAGAAGTCGAAATCGCATCATGCCGTTGTTTACATGAAACCACACGAGACAGCCAATCATGTGCTTTTGTGCTCCGATGCAACAGATGGACAAAGGCTCCACTTGAACAAGCCGTCCATCTCAGAGCTTGCGACTGAGTGCCGCAAGACCCTCTACTTGGAGGTTCATGGATACTTATAAGTATTATAAGTAGGTGACCTGTAATTGTCAATGGCCATAACCAACTGATCTAACTTGTGTTTACCCTGCTTTGCCAAAGAAACAAACCTTCCAGCCTCCAAGCTCTAAGCCTGGAACCCTGAAACCTAAAGCCCCAAACCCTAAAACCTACAACCCTGGAAGCCTCATTCCCAACACCCCCGCCCCCTCCAAACCACCCTAAACCCTCAACCCTAAACCCTCTCTCTCTCTCTCTCTCTCTCTCTCTCTCTCTCTCTCTCGGGCATTCGAAACGTCAAGCCTGCCAGGGACAGCTCTCGTGGCCACCCCCGTGAAAGTGTAAGCGAAACGGTCAGAAATCCTACCCTAAACCCTAAAACCTAAACCCTAAACCCTAAACCCTAAACCCTAAACCCTAAACCCTAAGCCCTAAGCCCTAAGCCCTAAGCCCTAAGCCCTAAGCCTAAGCCCTAAGCTGCCCTGAGCCCTGTCCTTCGAGGACAAGCAGCACGTTCCAGGGATTCACGTCCTTCGGTATCGCTTGGCATGATTCAGAGCTTGGGGTTGGGCTTCATCATTTTTGGTTTAGGGTTTAGGGTTTAGGGTTTAGGGTTTAGGATGGCGTGCAGGGTTACAGTCGAGATGGGGTTCAGGGCACAGAGGTTCATGTCTTGGGCTTCAGAGTTTGAAGTCTAGGGCCTAGGGTGTAGGCGAAGGGTTTGAAGAGGTCAAGGGCTCCTGCATTTCAACCCTAAACCCTAAACCCTCAACCCTCAACCCTCAACCCTCAACCCTAAACCCGAAACCCTAAACCCTAAACCCTAGCCCTAAACCCTAAACCCCGGGAAGGCAGCTCCGGGGTCCCGGTGTAGAACTCTCAGCTGATGGCAGTGGCTCAAAGCTCTGCAGAGTTGCAGAGACCACGCCTGCCTGGCAGGGTTTAGGGTTTAGGGTTTAGGGTTTAGGGTTTAGGGTTTAGGGTTTAGGGTTTAGGGTTTAGGGTTTAGGGTTTAGGGTTTAGGGTTTAGGGTTTAGGGTTTAGGGTTTTAGGGCGTGGAGGCCTTGTTGCTCGCAGGCCTTCACAGGCTTCGGGTGATTGGGCGGGCTGTCTGGCCACGCAGCTTAAGGCTTGGAGCTACGGATTGAGGGGGAATTGGAACTCCTTACTAGTATGTCCGCAGGACACCCCTTTATACATGCTTGGAGGTTCATGGTACATATTCACCAATGATAACTGTACTTATGACCCACTTATAATAGGGTTTGGAATTTAGGGCTTCCTGACATCCCGCAAAGGCCAACTGCACAGATCGTCAAGCGCAAAGACGACTATACCGACTATACCCCTTTGAAAAACACAGCCGCTTTTTTCGAATGGTCCCTAAACCCTAAACTCCTAAACCCTAAACCCTAAACCCTAAACCCTAAACCCTAAACCCGGAACAGTGGTGTTCTATATGCAAACAGGGATGCAAGACAATTCTTATGAGGACTGCGGATGGTGGATGGGAGGGACGAACAGCTCGTAGCCAATGCAGTCGTAGCATTCGCCTCCTTATAAATACCCATGAACCTCCAAGTGCAATTGAACATCCCTAACCCTACGTGCACTACTAGGCCAGAAATAATTATGTACATAAATAAAGAAATATAAATAAATAAATGTATATATATGTATGTATTTATATACAGATATGGATGTAAATAGATATTAAACACATACAAAAGTATAAATGCACAAAAACAAGTAAGAAAAGATACAAAACAAATAAACAAGACCGAATAAACAAATAATGTAAATACCTATATGTGTGTATATATATATGTATATATATATATATATATATGGAAGGGGGGGGGTCCGAAATTAGGGGGTATCTTTTGGGCATCCTGAATAGTAAGGGATCCTACTATTTGGGGACTAGGTAAGGGGTCCCTGGTTTTCGGAAACCCGCATATACGTACTAAACATCCCAAAACACTTCGTCCGGCCTTTCGCTGCTTGCCGCCTTCCCTCGCGACCATGTGCCCGTCAGCGCAGACCAGAGTTCCATGTCGCAGGCCTGGTGAAGGGTTTAATAGGGTTTAGGGTTTTTAGGGTTTAGGGTTTTTTAGGGTTTAGGGTTTTTTAGGGTTTAGGGTCTTTTAGGGTTTAGGGTTTAGGGTTTAAAGTTGAGAGTTTGGGGGGGTTAGGGTTTAGGGCTTTGAGGGTCTGGTTTGTGGGTTAAAAGCAGGAGTTACAAGTAGGGTAACTGTGGGTTTATTTCCCAACTTAAAAGTACCAATGAACCTTTAAGTGGGGCTTGGGGTTCAGGGTGGGCCTAAGGCCGCAGAAAAATCCGCGCCAGCCGCAGTCAACCCTAAACCTAAACCCTAAACCCTAAACCCTAAACCCTAAACCCTAAACCCTAAACCCTAAACCCTCAACCCTAAACCCGCAAGAGCCCACATGCCTCGAAGATCAGGACATACTCCGTGGCAGTCTCGCAGGCAAAAGCGTACCGCACGATGTCGGAGCACTGCGCGCGTGACATTCGGGTTTAGGGTTTAGGGTTTGGGGTTTGGGGTTTAGGGTTTGGGGTTTAGGGTTGGGACAACGAAAGCTTGCTGTCAACTCAAGATTGAGCTATGCGCCACAACCTTCAGTTGACACCTGTCGTTCAAACACTCATGAAGAACGGGGGGGCCCCGAACCTCCCCCACACCTAGACTCCAAACCCGGCAAAAGACACTAAACCCTAACCCCTTTTGGAAATAACAACCTAAACCCTAAAACCCGAAACCCTAAACCCTAAACCCTAAACCCCAGCCTCGGCAGAGCAAAGCTTGAGTAGCCGCACTTCCTGCTCCAACGCCTTCAGGCGCTTCGCGGGCGTGGCGAAGTAGGGTTTAGGGTTCAGGGCTTCTACGGCTTTGCCGTAGGGTTTAGGGTTTAGGGTTTAGGGTTTAGGGTTTAGGGTTTAGGGTTTAGGGTTTAGGGTTTAGGGTTTAGGGGCTAGGATTTGGGTTGAGGGAGTCCTTTCAGGGCGCTAGTTCTTCGTTACACTGGTCTGTGCTTATATACAGCTGCCCATGAACTTGTGAACCTTCCAGCCCAAGTGCCGCTGTCCTTCGAAAGCCCCACAGTCCCCATAGAAGCACGGCATCTACGCAGTGTCTTTTGAGGTTTGGATTTAGTAAGGTTAGGTTTACTACCCTTATCCTGAATTCTAGATTGTTGCAGGCCATGTACTTCCTTGTGGTCTGTAGACCTGCTCCTGTGCATTGCAACCAAAGTTGGCATTCTTTTGAGCGAGCTCAGGTTGTGCAGAGCTGGAAACGACTCATCTGCGCAGATTTCCGGCGGCAACAGTGCAACCGAAGCCCAAAACAAAACCGGCGAAGGAAGGAAGAGAGTTTCGGGTTGAGGGTCTAGGGCCACCGTCCTTCCGTGGTGAGCTGCTCTTCAGCCGCTTCGCGGCATAGCCTGGGGCTGCGAGGGCTTCTGGGTTTTGGGTCCGTGCTAAATATTGATTTAGGGAATCGAGCTCTACCAGCGGGCCTCTAACACAGCTTATGGCAGAAAAACCCTAAACCCTAAACCAGGGACATCGGAACGGCGTGGGGAGTAACTCAGGGCTCCTAACCCTAAACCCGTTTTGCAACTGGGACTTGGTGACTGCCAGAAAGGAACCCCCACTGCACACACCCCGCAAGCTGCAGCACCGGCCTCCCTTAACCCTCGCTTCGGGGCTTTGAGGGAGTACTATGCTCATGATGATGATTACTATTTTTTATATTCTTAATACACAGATTTACAGTGATATGTAGATGTATATATATATAACTACATAGGTACATATGTACAATATAAATATATATACATATGTACACTCTTGTTGTTGTTTTTGTTTTTTTTTTGGGGGGGGGGGTGGGGGGGCGAAGACGCTGCCATGCCCACTGGCTTGGGGGACTTTCTGGGTTGAAGGAGCTCTAAGGGAGCCTACGGGCCTTCTTTTGTTGCCACCCGCCGGCTTGGGGTTCGGGGTTTAGGGTTTCGGGTTTAGGGTTTAGGGTTTAGGGTTTTGGGGGGTTTGGGGGTTTTGGTGGTTTCGGGGGGTTTAAGGGGTTTAGGGGGTTTAAGTTTAGGGCTTATAGGGTTTCGGGAATTCCAGAAAGAACCTCCAAACCATCCCGAGGTCAAACCAAGCCAACCATCGGCGCAGCCATGCCGCGGCCACCATCCGCGCAGCGCAGCAGAGGCGAGACCACACCGGAAGTGCCTGAAATTGCAAGGGGGGTTTGGGGTTTAGGGTTTGGGGTGTGGGGTTTAGGGTTCAGGGTTTGGGGTTCAGGGTTTGGGGTGTGGGGTTTGGGGTTTCGGGTTTACATGTTTAGGGTTTTGGGGTTTAGGGTCTTGGGGTTTTAGGGTTTTGGGGCTTAGGGTTTTGGGGTTTGGGGTTTAGGGCTTGGAGTTTAGGGTTCGGGGTTCAGGGGTTTGGGGTTTAGGGAGAGAGTCCAAATCCCTCGACTAAGGAATGGTCCTTTAAACAGATAAGGGGACTTTTGAATACCTTGATTAAGGCGCTTTGCTTCTCCACCCTGACCTGAACCCGGTGACTCTGCTGTGGCTCCCACAAACTGCCGCATCCCTTGACTAGGGAAGAGTCCTTCCTGAAATTGAATCCTGAAACTTTAATTTGCACTACTGGGGATTCATACGGTCCAGGGTACCTTATGGGGTCCTTTTTACAAGGGGATCCTACGATTTGGGGGTTTACATTTGGGGCCCCTTATTATCGGAAACCCCCCAGATTGAAAACATATGATCTATGGGCTCGTCCTTACTTCAGAGATTTGGGTGTCTCTGGGTCCCAAGGTTGCCAGGCCTTCGCCGATGGCATCGCCCAGGGGTAGCTCCAGAATTAAGGTCTCCGGCATCTCCGCGCGCCCACTCGCTGTCTAAGGCTGAGGTCCAGCGGCCGCAGATTTGGGCTCGGGCTCGTCAGTCGGTAAACATAGTGGGGGGTTTAGGGTTTAGGGTTTAGGGTTTAGGGCTGGATTAGAACTTCCTAAACTTCCTCTTTGCTGTGCCTAGCGCATCTCACAGCCTTTGGAGCGAAGGGGACGGCGAGGGCAGCTGCCATGTTCCCAGGTGGCATGGAGCCGGTTTGCTTTGAAGTTGAGGAGGGTTTAGGGTTTAGGGTTTAGGGTTTAGGGTTTAGGGTTTAGGGTTTAGGGTTTAGGGTTTAGGGTTTGGGGTTTAGGGTTTAGGGTTTGGGGTTGGTATTTTGTCTGCACAGGTAGCCATGCATCTGTGTGCTGTGTGTATTACAAGATAAGAAACAAAAATGCGCACTCTCTCTCTCTCTCTCTCTCTCTCTCGCTCTCTCGCTCTCTCGCTAGACGCCCCCCTCCCCCCCCCACACACACACACACACGCACACCGAGAGTCAGCTTCAAGCTTGACATCATCACAGCTGAACATGGAACAAGTAAAACTGTCCCTGTATTACAACAGCAGCATCACAACTCGAAAACTCCTGGACCGTCTAATCTTGCCGCACAGCAGGCTGGGGGGGCGCGGGGAATCGTTGCAGGTCCGTACGATTACGAAGAGCACCGTTCCTATATCCTGACGACGAGCTTCGTTGGCCACGGCTAGGCATGCCCCCTGTACTACAAGACTGCGCAAGTAGGTTGCAAACTTTCAAGGTTGTACCGCCTAGGTTCACACACTCCCACTTGCACAGTGTCGGCATCCCCGCCAAAAATCAGCATGCAAAGTCGTTTTGCATGCATGACATCAGCTCCTCTGCTCACGCGCTGCTTTAGCATAAGCAGATCAGGCAAGGCATGGATTGGAACAAGCTTTCTCTGGTACAGTCGTCCAGCTGACAAACTATTGGTAGTCAAGCGTAGTCTTCGGTGTGGCATCTGTTGTTTGCGGTTGCAACTCGAGCTTGAAATTTGGACGCCTGCACCCCTGAACTACGGCGACTACGGTTTAAAACCGGGCAATTGAACTTTCTGGGTGACACGTGTGCTGCTGGATAGCCTTAGCCAATCAGCAGGCAGATTGGGGCTTAGGGTTTTGGGCTTAAAGTCTAGGGTCTAAGATTTAAGGTTTAGGTTCTTGAAGCACAGCAGTTGGTTGTTCATCGACAGACTGCAACAAGACTTTGCGTCTCACGTTATTCCAACATTCTCCCCTTGTAACTTCGCCACCCAGAACACCATTGCAATTAAACATGCCTCTTCTCTACCGCGATCCACCCTGGACATGCAAAGCACATAAACCAGCACCTCGCATGCCAACACAAAAAATCGACCTAAGGGTGTACTACAGCACTCCCAAAAAGAAGTCGATTCAGGGGCTTTAGGTTTCAAACTGGGGAAAAAACTCTAGCTTCTCCAGTCATCCAGGAGAAGAATGCTAGTTACATTTTCTGGTTTTCAGTCTGAACTCAATGGTTTACAACGCACACAAACGCTGACCCCCCAAAAGGGGGCCATGGCCCGCAACCTTACCTTCCGAATCCCCGAAGGCAACGCGATCCCCTAAGGATCCATGTGCCTGTATAGTGTATACTTGAGCCTTCAAGGAGTTCCTATATGCTAGCTTTATAGACCCCAAGTATATACTACATAGGTACATGGATCGTTAGGGATCTCGGGTTTAGGGTTTAGGGTTTAGGGTTTAGGGCCCAATCAACTGCGCGGCCTGATTCGAGATGGCCCAGCTCAATCGGAAGACGAGGCAGCCCTGAGCTGTCGCACGGGTGTTCTGAGGGACTGGGGGTTGGCGCTCGTCCGACTTCGGGTCTAGGGGGTTTAGGGTTTAGGGTTTAGGGTTTAGGGTTTAAGGTTTAGGGTTTAGGTCCCGACCCGTTCAGCGTGCTTCTGACGCAAGCACCAGACACGTCTCATCCCAAGCCCTGGCTCTACTTCCTGCCTCTTCGGAGGGACCCTAGGGAATTTTGGCACCTTTATATCCCCTCTGCATGACCCTGTAAGGGGTGAAATAGGGAGGTCCAAATTTTCTCGGGTTTTGAGACCATCGCACCTCGGCATTCTTACAGCTGCAGTGAATCCTGGGGACCGCCCTAAACCCTAAACCCTAAACCCTATACCCTAAAGGGGGCGGGGGGACAGGCCGGGGGTTAAGGTCAGGGTTGTGGCCTCCTGCCGGAAACACTGTGCCTGACAGGTTCAAAGTTAACTTCTGAGGGTTTAAGATTTATAAGGCTTCTAGTTTTAGACTTGCGCGGCCTTTGGGATAACAGCTTCGGCAAAAAGTGTTAGGGTTTCCCTGAACGGTCCTGAACCCTAAACCCTAATACCCCCTAAGACTTGAAAGCGAAAAATGAAGTCCCAAGAATGTGGACGTTGATGGCAGGGGGTCACCGGGTGAGCATCCTGACACTTTGCGACGGGCTTTCGACGCTCACGCTGGCACACGCAGGCAAGGCTTTGGGGGGCCTTTAGGTGTGCCAGCTTTGAGCTTGGAAGCTCCAAAACGGAGGCTTGTTTTGCCACCCCATTGGCTTTGTGAATTAGGGTCCAGGGTTTAGGGTTTAGGGCGTATGTACACCATGCAAGCAGGGCGTTAAGCCCCTCCGTTTTCGGACATGCGACAGGCGGCCACAGCAGGGCCCCCGCCGGAAAGGCAAGAACAAAACTAAATTGACCCCAAACCCTGAAGCTTAAAGCCTTTGCCTCAACCCTAGCACCCAAAATCCCCCTAGTGACCCAAGCAACACACAGCTTCCCAGCGGCGACGAAAGTGTGCATCCTACGTGACAGAAGCGACCTGAGTATCGCAAGCGACCCAAGTGATCCAAGCAACCCGAGTGTTCCCAGTTCTCCCAAATATTTCAAGTGTGTGTCCAAGTCCTATTTTAGGGTTTAGGGTTTAGGGCTAACCCCAAGCGACCCATGCGTCCCAAGTGCTCCAAGCGACCAATGTGACACAACTCATAGGTCATAGGTGGCTTCAGTGAAGAGTTTTATACCAAGTTCGTCTACACCACGTTGTATCAAGAGTAATTTCATGTTGCTCCGCAAAAAGCATAAGAAGGCCTTAACTCCATGAGAGTGAGTTGTAAGTGGGAGATCGTGGGGTGGGTAGGTCTGCTGAATCATGCGATCTCACAAAGCGCTCTTCCGTTTGGCACGCCCTCAACCCTCAACCCTAAACACTAAACCCTCCACCCGCTGGAGTCTCTGGTTGACTGTGCTAGGCCCTGGGCGGGTCGTGGGCGGGCTGGCCAAAAGGCACCATCATCCGAAAGTCGTCGACGCCAATCCTTAGAGTAGAGCTTCTCTTAGGTTTGAGGTTTTAGGATTTGGGAAAGAAGGTTCAGTCAGTTTAGTCTTTGGGGGGGGGGGTGGGTGGGGGGTGCGGGTTTAGCGTTTCGAGTCTCGCGCTCGCACAAGCAGGCAATCATTCCGTCATCTGGGTTCGTCTCAACTCACACGCCCGCTCTGATTCCTGCCCACCAAAATGCCCACAAATCTTCCATGTTTTCGGGTTTGTGGATTGAGGTTTGGGGGTCCAGGGTTCGGAGTTTGAGAGTTGGGGCTTGGGGACAGTCAGGGAAGCTCGTCAATTACTCCTAAACCCTGAACCCTATACCCTAACACCGTAATTGAACCCTAGACCTGGACCGATAGGATTTAGGTTTAGGGTTTAGGGTTTAGGGCTCAGGGCACCTACACTCCCTACAGCAAAAGCTCAAGATGTCGGCACTGAGTGGACTCTTTCCCTCCCGAAGCAGCCACGCTCAGCTCCTCGATACTTCATGGGTGCTTCTATAAGTCGGTCCATCCTAAACCCTAAACCCTAAACCCTAAACCCTTCACCCTAAACCCGGATCAATCATGGCTTCATGCCTTTCACTCATTCGTTCGTTCATGCGCAGTGGACCGTGCACAACCAACACTCTTGCTTGATGAAACTACCTTCGCACCTGGCAGTCTATGTTCGATTCCACTTGAAACTTTGAAGACTGCGCGCTGAGGCAGGAGACGATATATGCCAACATCATAAGAAAGTCTCGGCCAGGTCACTGGCGCAACCCGGCTCTCCTTGCAGGAAGCATGCCATGCAAGGCTCACCAGCACGCCTCCCTGTGCCACCACACTGTGGGCACCTGCGCCTGTCCTTCGGCAGGGTCCCAGGATCATGCTGTAAGCAAACCACGCACATGTCTCCATTCTGCTGTCCTGTGCCGAAGCATCCAAAACATCGCTGGCGAACATTTGCATAATCTGCACTGAGCCACCCAGGCGCAAATCGCAGAGAACACAGCAGACAAAGATCGCGACCTTGCTTGCCGGTACCGCCGCATGCGAAGCACTTGACGCAGTCCTTCTTTTCAACGTGGTCCGGACTGGCAACAGACGTACCCTTCTGCTTGCCCTTTCCCTTGGCTGCCCAGAATGGCGCCAGGTCCACAACTTCATCAAGGTAGGTTGGGTGTCAAAGACGGCATCAGCGCTGCTCTTCTGCTTGCCTTTTCCTTTGGCTGCAGTGCCCTTCTGTTTGCCTTTCCCCTTGGCTGCCCAGAATGGCGCCAGGTCCACAACTTCATCAAGGTAGGTTGGGTCGTCAAAGACGGCATCAGCGCTGCTCTTCTGCTTGCCTTTTCCTTTGGCTGCAGTGCCCTTCTGTGTGCCTTTTCCCTTGGCTGCCCAGAATGGCGCCAGGTCCACAACTTCATCAAGGTAGGTTGGGTCGTCAAAGACGGCATCAGCGCTGCTCTTCTGCTTGCCTTTTCCTTTGGCTACAGTGCCCTTCTGTTTGCCTTTTCCCTTGGCTGCCCAGAATAGCGCCAGGTCCACAAGTTCATCCAGGCAGATTGGGTCGGCAAAACAGGCATTTGCGCTTCTCTTCTGCTTGCCTCTACCTTTGGCAACACACGTACCCTTCTGCTTGCCTGTTCCCTTGGTTGCCCAGAATGGCGCCAGGTCCACAACTTCATCAAGGTAGGTTGGGTCGTCAAAGACGGCATCAGCGCTGCTCTTATGCTTGCCTCTTCCTTTGGCTGCAGTGCCCTTCTGTTTGCCTTTGCCCTTCGCCGCTCCAAGCAACCGGTCTGCCATGTGAGCAATCCTGTTATATTTGTTAATCGCCCCTACATGTAGGAAGCCTGTATAATTCCTCATGTCGACGCCCTGTAAGGAGCTTGGAGTACAGCTCATGTGTACAGCAGTGGCGACAAAAATGCCTGCCAGTGGCCGACAGATGGAGATTTACAAAAGTAGCAACGGCAGACAAACCTCAACAAGTAGCAATCCTTCGGGCAGACGACTCAGCGTTGCTCAGAACTGATTGCTTCCTTGGCTGCCCTTCACATGCCCCAAAATTGTAATGCTAACCCCTAACACCTATTGCTATTCACTTACTCCTCAAACCTAAACCCTCATCCCCTACATGACCCCCTCAATGATCCAATTAGTTTAGGCTATCGCTCGAGCTCATCATTGGAAAGGCAAAAAGGGATGACTCGAGGAAGTTCACTTTCATTCAAGGCAATCCTGGGCGTCTTTAGGGTGTTAGGATTTCAAATGGACTTATAGGGTTTAGGGTATAAGTTGGTTTAGGCTTGACCTATGAGCCACCGTCGTGATACTGGAACCCTAAACCCTACACCCGAAGCCCCAAAACTCTGCCGCCCCCCCCCCCCCCCCCCCCCCCCCCCACACCATTCTGAAAGATTTTAAGCGATTTAACAGCAGGGCCGCGTCAATCAGGCAATCTTTCTGGACGCATTTCTTGCTCACAACAGTGCCTGGATTGACGTGCCCGTGGAAGCATTTCCTGCTCAAGAAAAGGGGAGAAAGAACAATTGCCTGCATTGACGCGCCTGCTTTTTGCATGCAACGCGTCAATCCAGGCAAGTTTTCTAAAATTGCCTGGAATGACTTGCGAGTTTCTTGTTTGCAAGAAGGACACGCGTCCATCCAGAAAATTATTCTAGAAGCATTTCTTACTCAACAACGAAGAGAAACAACTGCCTGGATTGACATGCCTGTCTTTCTTTGCAGAGCGGAGGTGCGACAATCCGGGCTACTTTTCTAGAAGCATTCTTTTTCAAAAATACGAGCAACCATTGTCTGGATTACCGCTCCTGGTTTTGCTCGCGAGACGGGGCGTGCCAACCCAGGCATTTTTGCTGCATGGAAGCATTTCCTGCTCAAAAAGAGGCAAAAATTGCCTGGATTGACGTGCCTTTTTGTTGCTTGCAAAAGGGCGCGCATCAATCGAGTCAAATTTCTAGAAGCATTGATTCTTGAAAAAGGAATAGAAGAATGCCTGGAACGGCGCGTCTGTTTTTGTTTCAAAGAAGGGGGCGCGTCAGTTTAGGAAGCTTTCCTACAAGTGTGTCTTCCTCAAAATGAAACAAAACATGCCTGAATTGACACACCTGTCTTTGTTGAAAAAAGCGGGTGCGTCAATCCAGGCAACTTTTCCGGAAGCACTTGTTTCTCATGCCTGGATTGACCCACCAGGCTTTTGTTTGCAGGAAGAGGGCGCGTGTCAGCCCAGTCAGTTTTTCTAGAAGCGTTGCTTCTTCAAAAACGAAAAGAAGAACGCATGGAATGGCGCGCCTGCTTTTGTTTGCTAGATTCTCCCATGAAGCCCAAAACCTAACCCTAAACCCTAAGCCCTAGATCCCACAGCATGGCTTAGCATGGTCAGAATCAGACTTGCCCTCATGCGCGCGCCTGGTGTAGTAGAACTGGCTTTCGGACCGGTACCAGACTACCCAGCTGTACTGCCAGGGACCTACTGATTAGGTTCGCAGAGCCCGAAGCCGCAAACCCTAAACCCTAAACCCTAAACCCTAAACCCTTAAGAACACAATGATTAGGGCCTTGGAAGAAAGGGCAGAATTTCATAACACTTAGCCTTGAGGTTTCAATCCCAAATCCCTAAATTCTGTGGCTAACCTCTCTGGGCCACGGACCTCTGGTCCTTATCTGCGTCTGCAGTTTCTAAGATGATCTTCGCATCCTGCCACAGCTGCTGGGATCGCTAGCTAGATTTGGCGTGGTTCACGGTTGGGAGCTTAGATTTGTTGTTGTTTTTCTTTGTGGGGGGGTGAAGGACCACACGGATGAAAGGCTGCCATTATCAAGCACCATGCGCTGCGGCAACGCTTGCTGCGGCTGACACTGTCAGCATGATAGCAACACTGCCACGCACCTCGTCTGAGATCTCGCCGTACCCGAGCTCCTCCAAGCAACACTAGAACAAGATGAGTATATTACACTTAATAAGGAAGTTTATTTTTGGGGGGCTCTTAAGCAATTCGTAGAAAACCGTGATAACGAGTCACCCAAGCCATGTGGAAATTAGGACACCAGCGCAACCGCAACTCGCCGATGGGTGAGAGGAGTCCTCCTTGTGTCCCCTAAACCCTAAACCCTAAACCCTAAACCCTAAACCCTAAACCCTAAACCCTAAACCTGCGTCCCTCCATGTTCCGCAACTAGGGGCACAGACTCGGCGAGACAACGCTCAGCAAGAAGTAACATCTTAAGAGAGAAGGATAACGAAGTAACATCTTCAGAGAGAAGGATAACGACATGGAAGAATGGCTTGGAGTAGCGAACACTCCCCACCTGCTATTAGAGCAGAAGTTCGATCGCTTCCGTCCTTTCCCTCATCAGAGATCTCCCTGGCCTAGAACTGGGAGGGATCGCAATAAAGCTAACGCAGTATTTCGCGAGGATGGCTCTTAATACCCCCCTAAACATGTTCCTAAACATGAGCCTCTTCAACTCAACAAGGGCAAACAATTAAAACAACAAAAACAAACACAAAGAAAAAACAAACAAACAAGGCCTACCTAGTTAAGAAACGACTCTGCGTGACAGCTGGAGACAGAGGCACTTTCCACACAGACTCCAGCATGGACACCGTACCTTGAAGAAGCCCTTGACGATATCCATGTCCACAAAGTTCGAGTTGGCCGGATCTGCATAAACCTGTCACAGGTTTAAACCCTAAACCCTAAGCCCTACGCCCTAAACCCTAAACCCTAAACCCTAAGCCCTAAGCCCTAAGCCCTAAGCCCTAATCCCTAAGCCCTAAGCCCTACGCCCTACGCCCTACGCCCTAAGCCCTAAACCAGACCTGGAACAATCCTGCCATGGTAGGCCTACGTAGACCTCCGCTACCACCAGTCACAATGCGAAGCAGCCCAGTGCACCTGCACACCCTGAGCCCTAAACCCTAAAGCCTTATTGCAATATAGAAATAGAAGAAAGGAACCCTAAACCCTAAAGCATTTTTGCAGTATAGAAATAGTACACAAAAGAAGAAGAACAAATTTAAGCCTTGGTAGCCCAGCAGCCATCTTGCAATAGGGGCACCCTTTTTGGAGTTGGTTGCTTTAGAAGGGAACCCAGAACTAACAAGGGTAAAGGGTACCACTGAGCGTTTATCTGGGTTAGCCTTTAAACCCTCTGAACAATATTTATGTACAGGGTCCCTTATAAACCCAAATAAGGAGAAGAACAAATGTCCCAGAATCCAACCTAGTTATGTACATACGTCTACACACGCCTGCATAGAAGCATCTACCATCCACGTATACATATACATACACACACACATATATATATATATATATATATGCATAGACGCACATGCCTATATCATGTCCTAGATATATATATATATATATAGATGAATATGTGTGTGTAATTTATATCTTGGCACAGTGCAATATCATTGCAATGGCAGGCGTGTCTTCCCCTGCAGGCAGCAGAGTCTCTCGCTTTTGCATCTGCTTGTGGCGAGTTCGTTTGCAAAATCGCTGCCGCACGGCAACTCCCGCGTTCATTCTTGAGCAGAACATGGACTTCGGGCCTACGAAGGTCTAAGTCCAGCTTCTTCCCCCCCCCGCCCCCCTCGGAACCCAACTCTGAATCTCGAGCTCGGCACGTGAAGGAGTAGGGTTTATGGTTTGGGGTTCAGGATCATACTCACTTGGATCAGTTGTGGTGTCCAGCTTGGGGCTTCATCGCTACTGGGTTGGCTACTTATTCTTTAAACCCTTTGAACAAAAAAACTCACCGGCAAGGCCCTTTAAGAGACCCAGTCAGAGAAGTAGAAAGGAACTTTTGAAAGCCAGTAGACTATAATTATGGGCTACAGTTTCCTACTTTGGGGGTATGGTAGCCTCTTCTTTTGGGTAACTAGGCGTTTCAGGACTGAACTAAACCCTAAACCCTAAACCCTAAACCCTAAACCCTAAACCCTAAACCCTAAACCCTAAACCCTAAACACGCAGCTGAGAAGCGGCCATGCTGTTGGCAGCGGAACATGGTTTGGCAGCTCTAGGTCCAAATCGTCATGTGGCAGGTTGGTCGGAGGTTTAGGGTTTAGGGTTTAGGCTTTAGGGTTTAGGGTTTAGGGTTTAGGGTTTAAGACTCAGGCGGAGCCTTTTCTCATAAGGGGTGCCCATGAGTGCCCAGAAAGCGATTCGGCATTCTCCTGCAGCTTCCAAACACTACCACAAGCCCTACCGGTAAGAAGCTGAAGGCAAGCACTACTTCAGCCAGATGTTGCTCTCAAGAAGAGCCTGGTCCGCAAAAACTAAGGCAAATGCGGCATCGCAAAAAGTCATGATCGTAGCCCACGTCGTCGACACGGTCTTGAGTGACCAAGAAAAAGCCACTTTAGTTCAGGAGGGTGTAGGGTTTTAGACTTGTTTGCCTTCGATGTTCTGGCGTGAAGCGCCTCCGGGTACGGGCCCGTCAGACTTCTTTCTCGAGATAAACAAAATGTGCCGCCTTTGAGCATGCCACGGGGTTCCGCGTGGCCACTCTCAGGGCGTGCAAGGTTACTGGGAAAACATGCAGCCTGCCCTGCAGATTTCTATCAGAGTCTGGTGTCACATTGGGTTTCGACTTGGCTTTCGGTCAATAGCTTGGGTAGCTCATATGATGACCAAGAAAGGGACGCAAGTTGCTGTAGATGCCCATCATCATGATAAAATACTGCTTCACATACCTGCCGCGAGCATTCTGCAGGCCCTGGCCGCCTCAAAGTAACACTTTACGAACGCTCAGATTACTTCCCCTAAGGGTCCATGTACCTAATTATGGAATACTTGGGCCTTAAAGTACTTCCTATATAAGGACTTGTGGGTCTATGTATATAATATTAAGGTACATGGACCCTTAGGGTTCCGCATCGCGTGGACTGTGCGAAGGTGTCTAAACTCACAGCGCTGGGCATGGGCTCAACCCTAAACCCGAAACCCTAAACCCTAAACCCTAAACCCTAAACCCTGACCGAGAAAATATAAAACAGTCTACCTGGTAGTGCTACGTCTCAGGCGAGGTGGATTGCTCCTCCTGGAGCGACCGCTTCGCATCTGGGATCTGAGTCAGCCTCGCTGGATGTGTCAGATCACCTGAGACTTCTTGGTGGGTTTAGGGTTTAGGGTTTAGGGTTTAGGGTTTAGGGTTTAGGGTTTAGGGTTTAGGGTTTAGGGTTTAGGGCGAAGTAACAACAGGGAGTCAGAGGATCGTCCCACACACCCCCGATACCCCCAAACTGAGCTGAAAAGCCCCTAAATACCCCAAATCCGAGACCCGAAACTTTCAGACCCTACTGCAGAACCCTGAAGCCCTGAAGAGCCTTTCGGCCTAACTTTGATAAGGCCCAAGATTCTTGAGGCACGTGGCGGGCACGCTTTTCCCTGCAGACTAAACATCCATTTTTGCAGGACTTCTCCTCTTGTCGGCCATCATATGCGACTCCCAGGCATATGGAAAGTAAAGCCCTCAACCTTATAAGTACCCCGATGCACCATATTTCTCCAATACCCAGCGGCCGACATTTAAGAAGAACCCGTACACTCACCCTAAACCCTAAACCCTAAATCCTAAGCCCTACACCCTAAACCCTAAACCCTTAAACCCTAAGCCCCAACCCTAAACCGTAAACCAAGCCTCAGCCGGGACACTCTCAGAGGCGGCAGTGGATGTTGGCGAAGACAGAGGTGGGTCCTAGTCGACAAAGAGGTTTGGGGTTTAGGGTTTAGGATTGAGGGTTCAGGGTAAAGAAAAGGATAACGCAATGGGTTATACTGATCCAAACCTTGGGGAACTAACCCAGGGTTGAGGGTCATCAAAAACAACAGCGAGGGAATATCATAGGGGACACTATAATTCCTATTAAGGACTGTTAGTAGAAGGGGAACATCCCAAGGTACGGGGCTCTACGGCGCCAGCTTCATGTCCTCTGAGTCCCCTAGAAGAACATCACCCTGCCAAAGTGGTGCCTGCCGACCGTCCCTTGTAAAACAGAGTTTAGGGTTTAGGGTTTAGGGTTTAAGGTTTAGGGTTTAGACCGCTGCTGTGGATTGGAATGTGCAAGAGTCATGAACATGTCAGCAGGCCCTGCGGCGCTGCAAGGTCCGGCTTCGAGTTTAGGAGAGGGCTCTAAGCCCCAAACCCGGAACCCCAAACCCTAACCCTAAACCCTGAGCCCTGAGCCCTAAGCCAAGAGCCCTGAAACCTAAACCCCAAAACCGAAACCGGCTGAATAAAAGCAACAGCTGGGTCATGGAAATGTCTGGACTGCTAGCGGGATGGAGTTTAAGCCTTGCATGTTGGAGCTGTTTTGTGTAACTAAAACCCTAACCCTAAACCCTAAACCCTAAACCCTAAACCCTAAACCCTAAACCCTCAACCCTAAATTCTGGGTTCCTTGCATAAAGGACCCTAATCCAGAACCAACTGTCGTGTGGATGAGTTCCAAGGCTAGAGCCTCTGCAAGGCCCTAGCACCCAACTGTACCCTGAACCCTAAACCCTAAACCCTAAACCCCAAACCCCAAACCCTAAACCCTAAACCCTAAACCCTACAGGGTTCTATAGAACTCCCCCTCAGCACTCATGGCGCCTGAGCCTTCATCAGCAGGCCTTCTGGCAATGCCTCGCCCGTGGCCTCCTGAAGCACCAAGATCCGGCTGCGCCCTAAACCCTAAACGCCAAACCCTAAACCCTAAACCCTAAAACCCTAAAACCCTAAAACCCTAAAACCCTAAAACCCTAAAACCCTAAAACCCTAAACCCTGTTGCAGACTGGTTCTAAACACCCCCCAGGGTTGAAGGGTTCACGGCTTGAAGCGAACAAAAGCGCCATGACCTGGCAAAATGGCCCTAAACCCTAAACCCTAAATAACGGGTCAAACTTGGAAATGACCGAACAGGAGCCCATGCTGTTGGGGCGCCGAGCGGACTAATGTAGGGGCCTTGATCATTAGAACAGGGCTTTGGGGGGCTATTGCAGTATAGTTATATAGGGACCATAAGGGAATCATATTAGTAGTTGTTCCGACCCCTATACTAGAACCCTAAACCCCAAACCCTAAACCCCAAACCGCTAAACTTTAGGGTTTCGGTTTAATGGATCAGGACTGTATTGCCACCCTGATGGCCCCCGAGGCACGAGAACATGGCGCTTGTAATGTGCTCATCGCCGGTGCCCTGAACCCTTTTCATGAAGGGTTTAGGGTTTAGGGTTCAGGGTTGAGGGTGTTAGGGTTTAGGGAAACCCGAAGCCCTAAGCTCTAAACCCTGAACCCTAAACCCTTTGCCAAATCGACCCTGCTTAGCCTCGACGCTTGCACGATTGCGCCCACCTCAAGACGCTTTTGAAACCTTTATAAGCCTTAAACCCTGAGCCTGCCTGTCCAACTCTGCCAAGCTCCCTAAATCCTGCATCCCTTTCCTAAACTCTAAGCCCTAAACTCTAAACTCTAAACCCTGAACTCTCTCTCTCTCTCTCTCTGATAGGCGCTCCTGCATCCCCGTAAACTAGTTCATGGTTGAGAAAGTAATAAACACTCAGATTTCTATTCCTTGTTGACTTGGCTGCACTTAGGAGGGCAGCTATAAATTAAATCTCTAGCTGCCCTTATTAAGAAATGCGCTAAACCCCAAAAGGCTAAGGATCTAAAGTTACGGTAAAGCACCACAAAGTTGAGTACAAGGTCTTGCGGGGACACAGCCATGTCTCAGCTAAGCGGCTGCAAGATTCAGGTTCATGGCAATCGGCGCCTTCTGACGCACCTCTTTTGGGGTATCCGGGAAGTTGATGCAGGGCCTGCCTGAACCGCTAAACCCTAAACCCTAAACCCTCTTGGACGCTTCCCCGAATCCCTGAAAAAAGACACTTCAGACCCGAAAGCTGAATGTCCCAGACCCTCTTCTGCATGTGGACTGCTGGTGGCGCACATGCCCTAAACACCTATAGGGTTTAGGGTTTAGGGTTTAGGGTTTAGGGTCTAGGGTCTAGGGTTTAGGGTTTAGGGTCTAGGGTTTAGGGTTTAGGGTTTAGGGTCTAGGGTCTAGGGTCTAGGGTTTAGGGTTTAGGGTTTAGGGTTTAGGGTTTAGGGTTTAGGGTTTAGGGTTTAGGGTTAGGGGTTTCGGGTTCGGGGTCTATGGGTTAGTTAGGATTCGGGGGTCTAAGGGTTAGTTAGGGTTTAGGAGCCTGCAGAGCCAAATCCTGAGGCCTGAGGTGCAGTACACCAAGCCCTAAACCCTAAACCCTGAACCCTAAACCCTAAACTCTAAACCCTAAACCCTAAACCCTAAACCCTAAACCCGACACCCCAAACCCACTGACTAGGTCAAAGACTGAACATCATCCATCGCCTCCAGTCGGAAGTCCTTCGGCAGGTCCTGCATTGGGGGATGTTGATTTGCATAATACATATACCCTACACCCTACACCCTGAACCCTACACCCTACACCCTACACCCTAAACCCTAAACCCTAAACCCAAAACCCAAAACCCTATATATATATATATATATATATATATCTGTGTGTGTGTGTGTGTTTCTTTTGGAAGTGGTATGGTATGGATATGTACACATGGGAATTCATAGTAATTCATAATAGTAATAGCTATGTGTTATATATATATATATATATATAGTGAACTTGGAGGCGCAAGATTGACGTTTGACAGCTGAGAGCACGGGCAAACGAAACTGAAAGCTACCCGTTTTTGAAAGATGGACTTAGGTTTACGGTTCAGGGTTCAGGGTTCAGGGTTCAGGGTTTAGGGTTTAGGGGTCAGGAAACATCGCCGAGCAAACCTTTTTTTTGCACAGCCCGCAATCGCCAAAGGCTGCCCTGGGCACACGTGCAGCTGTGCTTCACTGCACTCTCCCTTCTGAGCAGTACGAGAGATTCCCTAAACCCTAAACCCTAAACCCCAAACCCCAAACCCTAAACCCTACTAAACCCTAAACCGGGACATCTTTCGTTTGTGGAGCCTCTGGTTTCTGCTTCGCATGTGGCCCCAATGATTTCTGCCAGTCAGGCACAAGTTCTACCGCTCCGATATCCTTCTCTTTGGGATGTCTTCAGAGCTCGAAAACTGCCCCATACGCTTAGGGACCGACTACAGTACCCTTAGGGACCGACTACAGTACCCTGAACCCTGAACCCTATTGTGTTCTCAAGATCTAGTAACTCACTTGATAGGTCCCTGGAAAAATCGGGCTGGGTGGAAGACGAGACTGATTATCGCACCTCGCGGAAAAGAATGCGGCAGATGATCGCTGTTACGCATTCTTAGGGTTTAGGGTGGGGTCTAAACCCTAAACCCTAAACCCTGAACCCTAAACCCTAAACCCTAAACCCTAAACCCTAAACCCTAAACCCTAAACCCTAGACCCTGAACCCTGAACCCTGAACCCTGAACCCTGAACCCTGAACCCAAACCCCGAAGCCAGAATTCCTGAAGAGCCTATCGGGTTCTTCAAGATGTCCAACGGGCCCAGGTACTTGGACTCTTGCCGCTTGCGAGTCGATATCTGCTATGTGGTGACACGGGCTACTATCCGCACCAGAACCCCCCAAAAAAGTACAAGATAAGAATCCTTATCAGGAAAAACGTCTCTACATTTCTTGCGGATGTTGCGGGTTCTTAAGCCAGTAGTAGTGAGTCCATTGGGATCGCACCCTAAACCCTGAACCCTAAACCCTAACCCTAAACCCTAAACCCTAAACCCTAAACCTTAATTCACAGCCCTCAGAATGGTGTTAGGCCATCTCCGCCTATGACGAAGCCATCCTCATTCCTCCTCCAGGCGATCCTTGGTAGCACAGTCCAAACCCTAAACCCTAAACCCTAAACCCTAAACCCTAAACCCTAAACCCTAAACCCTAAACCCTAAACCCTAAACCCTAAACCCTAAACCCTAAACCCTAAACCCTAAACCCTAAACCCTAAACCAGACAATAAGGGCTTAGGTTTTTGGGTGTTTAGGGTTAGGGCTTCGGGCATAGGGTTGAGGACCCCTTTTTGGGTTGGTTACTTTGGCCTCATAATAAGGGCTTAGGGTGTTTTTTTTGGCTTGGTGCACTAGGCAGAAATCGAGAAGTGTACCAAGTTTCATGTGTTTAGGTTTTAGGAATTAGGGTTTAAGGGCACACTTTTTGGCTTGGTTCTTCACAAGGGAGCCCAGAAGCAACGAAAAGGGTATAGGGTACCCCGGATTCACCAAGGATCAGCACTATGCCGACGAGGCCCATGGGTACGGTGACTTGCACGAAGGCGGCGGAGATGTTGGAGATAATGGGAATCAGTCTCGGTCGAAACTCTGGCGCCTTTGGCACCGTTTGTGCAGCAACCGCCCTGCGATATCGCTGCTTCAACTTAGGGTCGGCCTCCATGACACGATCGTCGAGGTCAAAGATGAAGTAGAGGGACACCGCCGTCATCGCCACGTTGTCAAAGCGGCCAGTGAAGGTGGCAACCTTTAAAAACATGGCCAGCTCGAGCAGGATGGACATCACGACGTTCAAGAACATCGCCACGTTGCACCAGAAGTACTCGTTGAAGTTAGCTGATTTCCCTGAAAGCTCGGGTCTTTCAAGGGTCTTGTATGTGTTGTAGGCCGAGCTGACTCCCTCGTTGATGCTGCCGAGGCCTTGATTTAAGCTGTCATAGACATGCTCGACCTCCTCGGACAAGCCGGTCACTCGGGCCACGCGTACGAAGGTCGAAGCAGGGCGAAGCCCTTCCAGCTTTGCCTGCTGAGACGCTTGTGACGACATGGACGACCGTTGGCTTCCTGGCCCGTCGCCATCGCTTGGATTGTCGTGCGAGAGAATGTACATGTTCGCCTCTGCACCGCGAGTGATGTGGCGGGCGCACCTTTCCGCAAACATATGGCAAAGCGTACCCAAAGCGGTAACCATAGCAAAGAAGGTGCCGCAATTGGCCAAGAACCACAAGGGAGACTTAATCCCCAGCCATCGCCATCGCTTCAGCGTGTCGCAGATGATTTGCCAAGGCAGCCAAAACTGCCTAGGATGGCCCCTTAACACCCTCTGAAACATCTTCTTAAAAAAAAAACTTGATCCTCTTAAACCCAGTAAGGGAACATATACATCCCTAAACCCTAAACCCTAAACCCTAAACCCTAAACCCTAAACCCTAAATATACATCTATATATATATATATATATAACGTCCCATGGTGCAAGACCCTACCGAGCTGCATGTAGGCCACGATCAAGGCCCGACAGGCGTACCCGAGCCAGGCCGTGCATCCGATGATGCCCGGGTGAAGAACCTTTGTAGGGTTTAGGGTTTAGGGTTTAGGGTTTGGTGGCCCAGTAACCATCTTCTAATCAGGGCATCTTTTTTTTGTGTGGGTGGGGGGGGGGGGGGGGTGGTTGGTTACGTTAAAAGGGGCCTGGGATTTTGGGGCCCTAAACCCTAACCCCTAAACCCTGAGCCAAAACAAGAGGAAAGGGTACCACTGGCCTACCAAGGCGGGGGGGGGAGGGGTGGTTACTTTATAAGGAACCCCTAAAAAGGGCCCTAAACCAAAGAAAGGGAAAAGGGTACCACTGGCCTACCAAGGAACGGCCAGCAAGCGGTAGATGTTGCCTGGGGCAATGAACTCGGGCGACATGGGGTCCAGACGAGCCTGCAGGGAATGTGTGAGGAGTTTTTAAACCCTCAGCCCTAAACCCTAAATCCTAAACCCTGAACACCAAACCCTATACCTATACGATTTGAGCACACTGATTTTAAATTTTATGGAGACCTGCAATTCCTTCTCGCGGAGGGGGTTCTCCTCATCCTCGTCGTCATCCTCCTCTTGAAGCTTCTGCTTGGAGGCTCAGGGTTTAGGGTTTAGGGTATAGGGATACTTCTAAGTGGGGTAAGCACCCCAAATACAGTTAGAACCATGAGTTTACCCTACAAACCTACTTACAATTCCCCCCCCCCCCCCCCCCACCCCGAAATACCATAAACCCTAAACCCTAAACCCTAAACCCTAAACCCTAAACCCTAAACCCTAAACCCTAAACCCCGAAGCTCCTCCATCATCTGGCCAGAAAGGATGGTTCGGACTTTGTTCACAAACCTCTCGCGGTTGGAGGGGATGCAGAAGGTGTAGCACGACCAGCCTGCGATGCTCAGGGTTTAGGGTTTAGGGTTTAGGGTTTAGGGTTTAGGGTTTAGGGTTTCGGGTGACCAGCCTCTTGGTAGTCCAGTAACCATATTCTGATGAGGGCAACCCTTGTTTGGTGTTAAGAACTTTGATAAGGGACGCCCAAGAACCCCAAAAGGGGCAAAAGGGCACCATTCAGCGAACAAGGCCTACGATGCCGAGGATGATGAAGAGAACCGTATACCGGCTCAATTCTTTCTCGGTGTTCCTGACCTCGGTTGGACCGAAATTATCGGGTCCCCAAGGGAGGGAGCTCCAATTGAGGGGTTTCAAGGTGGGGGGTTCAAGGTTTAGGGCTTAGTAACCCTCGGTTCCCTAAAACTCCCCATGAACCCCCCCCCCCCCTCCCCTGTAAATAAACTACGATCTTGCTTAAGTACCAGCCGATACGGGCCCTATAGGGATGATTCTCTTGTGCTTTTGTGGGCTCTTCAGCGAGTAGTAGGAAGTATTCCGACTTCCACGGCACATTTCTGACTATGACCCCCCCCCCCCCCCCCCCCCCCCCATTTTTGTAAGGCCCAAGACAAGGGGAGATTAAAACATTTTTAAAAAAATCTTGTCGATTGGGCTACCCAGTGGCAGAATGCACCAAGTACGCTGAACCTGGCAAGTGATACTGCCCGAAGAAGGTGCGGAAGTCGATGCCGGCCGGCGGGACGGTCAAGTTGCCACAGGGCTCGATCAACTGGTACCTATACTCCCCTTAGAACCTTCATAAAAATGATATGTT